AAACTCTGTAAGGCGTTAGTAATTTGCATTTATAATTATTTTCATGCATTTTAGGGGTTGAAAGGTCGGTGAATTCTGCATATATTTCATAATAATAATAATAATAATAATAATAATGATAATAATAATAATAATGATTATGATGATAATGAGTTATCAAAATACAAGGACCTTGAAATCGAAATTTCAAAAATGTCACACATGAGGGCATCAACAATTTCAATTTTAGTTGGAACCCTCGAATTGATTGTAGAAGGTTCCTGTAAACACATCACTGGGATCCCTGGTAACCCAAACCTTGAAGAAATACCAAAAATGGTACTCACATATAAAGCCAACAGGGCTTTCTTTATCTATGTAAAATATATGGGATCTTATTTGTTTTCTCAGCAAATGCTCTGTGGAAAATGTCATGATGACATTTCTGATCTTAAGTTGGGACCCGTAAAAAAATGAGAATACACCAGAAACCAAAGGAAATAATAATAATAATAATAATAATAATAATAATAATAATAATAAAGAAAAATCAATGCTAATCGCCCAGACATTGCAAACAAAAAAGCGATAGAAATCGTAATGTAGATCTTCAGTGGTTGGCAGGATCTTGTCTCAAACCAGAAATTGAAATTATTGTATTTGGATGTAGCGAACTGGCGCCAACAAAGTACTTGCAACGATATTATTGAGCAGCTCAGCCCATACATTGGTCAATCGAATATCTCGCATTCTTCCATTCTGACAAAGGGAATTGATGGTAACATAAGCTCGGAGAGTTTCGCAGAATGATGAAATTTCAACGTTTAAACTAATAGAGAAATCCAGACAAATCGACTGGACATGACTGTGAGAACCAAATCGAGAATACGTCTTCGAAGGATGTTGCATACACAAGTAGCAGTAAAGATATCTTTGAGAGTGTTTGTGAAACTAAGTAAATACAATGACCTTTTATAGAAATCGGTAGAATGTGGCATCTCCACACAACAACATTACCCGTTGTCATTAGGGGCTTTGAAAGTGATATTCAAAAGGAACAAAGAAATATGTAGATCAAATTCTTGGTCGTCCTAAAATATGTGAATTGCAAAAATTCATAATCAAGGCTTCTTCTCGCATCTTGCATAGATTTTTCTCCATGCAGTGAACATAATAACATACTTTTTTCTCTCTCTGATTGCATGGCACTACATCTGTTTGCATTTTCTCATCAAAAAAATGTCTCTTGAACTTTGGTTATGACTGCGGGAAAGCTCGTACTACACAAATCAAAGTCTAAAGATAATAATAATAATAATAATAATAATAATAATAATAATAATAATAATAATGGGACTACACAATACACACTGACAGAACAATCAAGGCCAACCGCCCAGATATTGTTATTAAAGACCGCAAACAAAATCGGTGCCTCCTTATTGATATGGCAGTCCCTGCCGACTGCAATGTATCTTTGAAGATATTCAAAAAGTTGTCAAAGTACAAGGACCTTGAAATAGAAATCGCGAAAATGTGGCATATGGGAACATCAACAATCCCTGTTGTAGTTGGAGCCCTAGGATTGTTGGAAAAGATTCCAGTAGACTCATTGAAGGGATTCCTAGAAACCTGTGCCTTAAAGAAATACAAAAAATTCTCCTCACGAGTACAGCCCACACCTTACGAAGGGCTTTGTCTATGTAAAATTTATTTTTGTTTTTTTTTGCAGTGGAAAATGTCATGATGCCATTTCTAACCTTAGGTCCCTGGGCGGGAACAGGAAAGAAATGAGTACACATCCGAAATCAAACGAAATAAAATAATAATAATAATAATAATAATAATAATAATAATAATAATAATAAGGTTTTATTCCTGCTGCACTGGACCAATGCTTGCTAACTAGAAATTACCAGGTACTCATATTGAAAAATTGTTTTGATCCCAAATTCTGTGATAAATATCCCGAAACAATTGATCATTGTACGGTGTTATTACTCACTGAATATAAAACTCAGTATGATAGAGTGGGCCAATATATGCACTGGAAAATATGCAACTTTTACGGGAAGGGGACTGCAAGAAAATGAATATCAGAGGAGGCGCAAAAGATAGAATCTTTTGAAGCGACTTTACAATACACACAGACAGGACAATCAATACTAATCCTTGAACATCGTGATCAAAGACCACAAGAAAAAATGTTCCTGTATTTCCTGTAGATTGTCTTTGAACATTTTCGAAAAACTATCAAAATACAAGGATCTTAAAGTGGAAATCAGTTGTAGTTACTATTGGATTGATTGGAAAATGTTCCGATAGAATTTTTGAAGAGATTCCTGGGGACACATACCTTAAAGGAATACTAAAACCTGTACTCGCAACTTCACCTCACACATTACGAAATGTGTGTTCTAATTTATTACGTTTTTGGTTTTTATAAATGTCATGAAGCCATTTCTGACCTAAGATCTCTGGTTGTGACTTGAAACGAAATGTATATACAACAAAACTCCAAGAAAAGGAAATAATAATAATAATAATAATAATAATAATAATAATAATGAAGAACAATCAATGCTAATCGCCCAGACATTGAAAACAAAAAAGGAATTGTCTCCTTATTGATATGACAGTCCCTGAACACTGCAATGTATCTTTGAAGATCTTCAAAAAGCTACCAAATTACAAAGACCTTGAAATCGAAATCTCAGAAATGTGGTACATGAGCGACTTCAACAATCCCTGTTGTAGTTGGAGCCCTCGAATTGTTTGGAAAAGATTCCAGTAGACTCATTGAAGTGATTCCTGGAAATACAAAACAATTGTTCTCACGAGTACAGCCCACACTTTATAAAGGTCTTTATCTATGTAAAATATGTTTTTTTTAATTGGTCAGTGGAAAATACCATGATGCCCTTTCTAAGCTTAGGTCTCTGGGCGGGACCCAGAAAGAAATGTCTAAACACCAGAAATTAAAGGAAATAAAACAATAATAATAAAACTCTCAAATGATAAGAACCTTCAAATCGAAGTAAGAAACTGTGTTGAAATTTAAAGCTACGATTATCCATGTTGTGATAGTGGGCATTGGGTATGGTAAAGAAAGGTACCGAAAATCATGTGGTGTAAAATTCATGGACACATCAGCATCTTAGAGATACAAATGATGACTTTGTGCGGAACTTCACATATCCGGGAAATCCTATCCATCTAAAGGAAACGTTTCTGCATAGAAAACTCTTACATTGACCTTTTTACTCATAGACACCGGAGGGGATTTGGCAATTAGGCACTTCAAATTGATTTTTGGCACGATGATGCCATACGCAACAACAACAACAACAATAATAATAATAATAATAATAATAATAATAATAATAATAATAATAATACGTCGGGTTCTGAGAAGTTGTTGATGAGAGCAAGAAAGCCTTTAAAATTGAAAAGTAACTCTCTATTTTATATATGATGGACTCCCCCGCTTAAGTACAAATTTTACAAGCCGGGAGAATCCATTATATATTAAATAGGGCGGTATATCTATTATATTACCGAAAGAGCTCACTATACACAGAGGGGTGACATGCTTATCTTTGCTGCACTCTTCTGATGATTTCGTATAAATAGATTGAAAAGAAATTAAGTTTTAAACTTTATAAATAAAACACCTTAATTTATGTCTTCAATTAATTTTAAGATTAGATGAGTTTTTGCTCGTTGAAAAATGGATGATAAATTTAGAATTAAATTGTAACAAGAACAAGAACAAGAATAAACTGTTAATTTTTCATGGCATGGCTAGTCTAATTGTTCCTTATTTCTTCACATCACATTCATATATATATATATATATATATATATATATATATATATATATATATATATATATATATATATAGATAGATAGGTAGGTAGATTTAAAAAGGACTAGATAGGCTTGCTTGTCACCATGTTCACACTCCTCTCAGGTCATTTGTATCCCTTGTTGCCTGTTTAGAGGTAGCTTTTCTGTTCATTCTAAAGTCTTTTTCTTGTCTTTCAGACCCAGTAACAGCTTGCGTCTTAGTGGCATTAGCGCCTTGCTTGCGAATAACAGCACTTTCTGCTCACTTAAAAAGAAAAATTCCAGAAGCAAATATCAAATTATTCATTGGGACTGATATTATTGATATTACTATATTTCATAGGCTCACTCGTTGTTGGAGATCAAGTGACAGCAAATCAAATCTTTAGCATTTTCCCCAATATTCTTACCGCTTCTTTGAGGCTTTTTGTATAGTTTCAATTTCATGTTCTTATTAATTTCACGTTTCTCGATTTCCTCATTTCCCGATTAATTTCTCTAACTTGTCTCTTTCTGATTCTTTCTCTAAATACACAGATGAAGGAATATTGGAAATTAAAACATCAAAGTATTAGAGAGCTTCATAAATATGACGTGACTGACATAGTTATCCAGAAAGGTACATAGGAACAGGCTGAAATAGAGAAATAGACTAACATACACATCTGTCAGGAAGAAATATAGTCTTAAGGTAGGCTATATTTATGGGATAAAGTGCACAATATCACAGATATATGTAAATATCAATATAAAAGTGAACATTGAAGTCAACACTTAGAGGCGACATGCTGTTTCATGCTGGACGCAATCGTTAGGCCTGACGACTGCGTCCAGCATGAAACAGCCTGTCGCTTTCTGAGTGTTGACTTTAATGTTCATTTGTATATATATATATATATATATATATATATATATATATATATATATTAGGTAGACAGATAGATATAATATCTGATAACAAATTCTACTGAACTCACTCATCCCCTGAAGAGTGGATTGTACCTACGAAACTTGAAAACGAGTTATTTAACACATTATTTTATTTGCTTACTGTTAATGGTGTATTTTCTTAATGCTGCTCACTGTGCATAAAATAATGTTCTCTTTAAAGTCTTAGCCTCAAGAAATATACTGGTCATTTTTTTCCTTCGAAATACAGTATTTGCCTTTATTAGATAGATAGATAGATAGATAGATAGATAGGAATAGACTGAGATAGATAAATATATCTGAATAGACTGAAACAGATAGATAGATAGATAGATATAAATAGACTGAGATGGATAAATAGCTATGAACTGACTGAGATAGATATGAATCGACTATAGATAGATACATAGAGAGATAGTTATGAATAGTCTGATATTGATAGATATGAATAGATTGACAGAGTATGAATCGACTGAAATATATAGATACATAGATAGATAGGTAGGTATGAATCGACTGAGATAGATATGCGTCGTCTGAGATAGATAGATATGAACAGTCTGAGATAGATATGAATAGACCGAGATAGATAGATATATAGATATGAATAGACTGAGATAAATAAATACATATGAATAGACTGAGATAGATAGATATATAGATAGGAATAGACTGAGATAGATAGATATATAGATAGGAATAGACTGAGATAGATAAATAAATATGAATAGACTGAGATAGATAGATAGATAGATAGATAGATAGATAGATAGATAGATAGATAGATAGATAGATATGGATAGACTGAGATAAATAGATATGCATCGACTGAGATAGATAAATTTAAAATGGTTATATAGGTTCGCCTATCATCCGGTTCACACTCCTCCCATGTCCTTTGAACAAGAGTAGAGGTTTATCTCTTATTTCCTGTTTAGAAAGTGAGTTTCCGGTTTCTTCTAAAGTTTTCTCATTCATTTTCACTCCCAGTAGCCCTTTGTGTAGTAGTGGCTTTGGGGTGAATTGATTAAAAAAGATTAAATACGTTAAGATTGATTGTTATTCACAGATTGATATAGATACCGATGAAGAAATTATATAGATGTAGAAGATGATACATGTTCACAGAGATTGATAAATCAGAATAGACTAATATATATATATATATATATATATATATATATATATATATATATATATATATATATATGTGTGTGTGTGTGTGTGTGTGTGTGTGTGTGTGTGTGTGCAAAAAGAATGTGAAATATGTGTATATAGATAGATAGATAGATAGATAGATAGATAGATAGATAATGAACAGACTGGGATAGATAGATAGATAGATAGATAGATAGATAGATAGATAGATAGATAGATAATGAATAGACTGGGATAGATAGATAGATAGATAGATAGATAGATAGATAGATAGATAGATAGACAGGTCGCAAAAGATGGAAAAAAAAGGAAAGAGAGAAAAACGATCACTCAGATTTGTGGCCGGAGAGGCATTGCTGGTCATCGCCAACCAGATTCATGAAATCGCCGTGTTGTATGTCCGTTCCTACGAGAGCCAAACAAATAATGGTCAGTTGACAAGCACGGCAGATTGACTGGGGGTGGAAATGGAGAAAGTGAGGTTTTCAATAGAGAAGACAACCAGTTTAGAAGAGGAAGTTGTGATGCATCGAAGTGTGTCATGCCAGAAATGTCATTTGAATCTGAACGGCGAAATATAAACATGACATTTGAATTAAAACATGACATTTAGATTCTGATTTGCCCTCGATTCCAGCCGGAGAAAATATGCTCTCTAATGTCCTGGCTCAGAAATAATCAGACACTCACTGCCACCTTTCTGTTTCTCTCTTTCAAGAAACATACATTGATCTAGGTGCATCGTCAGGAGTAATGGTTAACAAGTCAGTAGACCATAAAACTGTTTTAGTTGACCTACATTTAGGACCAGCCACTTTCTCAACGCCGTAATATAGATTCCCCGTGCCTATTCTATAAATACTTTCTTGATATTTGTTTTGATGAACTTTGATCTATGATACTTAGACTTTATGGATTTAAGCGCAGTACCAGATTGGCAACAAGGCCTCACTATTTTACAGTTTAATTGGCTACATGGAAGCGTAATTCTTTTCCTAAAAAAATCATTTTCTCGCACTTAGCGCCTGCGGAACTCACTTCCGGTTTCTTGCTTTCCAGCCAACTTTGATCTTCAAAAATTTAAACGCAGTGTCAATTGCTATTTGATATTTTCTTGATTCGTCGTCTTTTATTGTTCTCGCTCCTCAATAATGTTTTTCTTTTTCATATTCTTTCACACTCAATAATCCCTTTTGTCTTAGTGGCTTTATTACCTTACTTGGAAATGATAAAAAAATGATAATTGAAATGAAAATAGGAAAAAAAGATAAGTCCAACCGTAGTGTAATGGTAGCAATAGTGTAAAGCAAACCATTACTATTGTACTGCGTTTTCCATCTAAATTTGTACTAATCAAAGCCAATTTTGTTAAAATAGTATCCAATGACAAAAAGGATATTACTTATCAAGCATATCTTGTAAGTTAATGATAGTGAGTTCGATCCTTACAAGGTGATATGCGAATGAGCGTTCGAACCTGATTGTATTTCTTAATTTGTATTTACTCAAAACGAGGTCAGGTTGTGACACAAGGTCGGTTTAATGTGGGGAGCCCGAGCGCGTACACCCGAGCAAGGAACAAAAATTCCCCCAGCCGCCATAACCGTCAGTTGCGCTGGCCTCGGTGCGTGCACCGATCCTTCTGTCGTGCAATGAGGAGGCGCATCTCGGGCAGCTGTTCCCCAGCATAATTTTTTTCAGTTGTGACTCTGTCCTTTGACGGAGTCGTCCCTGAATGCACACTGCCCAAAGACAGAGACGCAACCGAGAGAGGATAAATAGATATGTTAGAAACTATTCAAAAGAGCAATTTACACACTTGTATTTTTTAATTTCTCCGGGAAATCCAGCACCTCAACGTCGAGTAGGTGTTTTTGAATTCTATCTCTCAAGTTTTATGGTTAATTTTATGAAAACGGAAACAGAATGAGAATTTTAAGGAGACCTTTTTTCGCTATTGATTATGTGGCTTCATCTTTCTATGGACTCTTGAATAGTTTGTTAATAAGTTTTGTTGAATAATTAAAATTCATTAAAGATAAGAGCAAAAAAAGAAAATAAAAAAAATTACCACACACATATCGACAGAAAGCCTAAAAATCGAGCGAGCGACATAAAGTATTCGAAACAAAACTATACGAACATTAATACGAATTATTAATCCAATAACAATACTTAATCGCACGAATTCAAAACCCACTGACAATGAGAAAAGACTTCCCATAAATTTTTAAACAAGCAAATAATATATATCTTTCACTGAGATCGATTCCCTATCGGTGAAACACCTGAGTAGTTGAATTTCGGACAAAATTAACCTTAGCAAGCACACAGGCATATGAACACACACACACACACACACACACACACACACACACACACACACACAAACAAACGCAAATAAATGTATTTTTAAAGTAATGTTTTTTTTTTAATTTATTAATCAGACAGAGTTTTAACACTTAAATATCATGTTAATTGATATCCATATTTAAGTAGAAAGCTCCGATTTTATATTTTAAAATAGGATACTCATTATCGTCTGCTGGTTTGAATATTCGAGAAAACAAAAAAATATGCGCCCTTCGGCAAGATTGGAATCTGCGTTCCCCTTGATAGGAGACACCGTCGTTTATTGCTTATACCGACTCGGCCACGGAGGGCGTTGCCCATCAAGCAAGAAGGATTTCCCTTAAAGGCCTTATTCAGCTTTGTTTGATCTGCATAAGCACATCGTATATAACAATGTTTTCTCCTGCCAAGGGGAACGTAAGTATTTTTTTCTTTAAAAAAATAAATATGTTTGTATGTACAAAGTATGAGTGGTTTGAACATTAGACGATGCCAGTCTGATTGACGGATGAGAAGTGGTTATAAACCCTGCCACAGATTCACGTACAACATGTGAGTGAACTTTGACGAAGCAACTTGGAAGCCTTTGATGGTTGTATTAGCACAATCATTAGCACATCGATCTTGCTTATGTCAAATTGTGCACTATGTAAATCTCAAGAACGATGTGTTCTGTTCAGCAGAGTTACAGTATAAACCATATATTTTCACCGTGTAAAGTCACTAATGTGCCTGAGAACTTGACTACAAACAGATTAACTAACTACCCTAGCAGACACACATACTCAAAACTGAGCAGACAGGTTATGGGTCTGGTTATTTCAGGTTTATTGTGTTATTATAATGATAGCTGAAATAATTATAGATGAGCAAATGGTTATTTCCTGGTTATTGAATTTTCGTAACGGCCATTGTGTACGATTCCGTCTTCTTAATTATCTAGATCATATAAAGATTGGTCACAATTTTAAGTCGTTCGATGGGTAGTAAATTTAGGGTTTGTATTTGAGTCATTTTTCTTTGATATTAATTACTTTGGTATTTTATTAATTTCTTACTAACAAATTATTTATTATTATTAAATTTAATTAATTATAAAATCTTTGTAAGTATGCAAATATTTTCATGGCATCTTCTCTGACGATCTATTTTCACTAATGTCCCAATTGCATGAATTTAAGCGTGTTAATAGGTTGGTATCTTGGTCCCATCCTTTCACGGTCGAAACAGTTAAATGTAACCGCCTCTTCTACTCCAACAGCCACTTCTCTTGCACTTCCTGACAGTGGAACTCCCTTCCTCTTATTTGATTCCCTTATAGCGATAATCTTTAAATATTCAAATGTAATGCCAATCGACATCTTATTCTTGATCTTGATCAGCGTCCTTCTCTTTTTTCCTCAAAAACCCGTCTTTACTCTTGCTCTCACTCTCTGTAACCCCTTGTGTACTAGTAACACATCCCACCTTGCTTGGGGTGAAATACTTAAAAAAAATGTATTCACTCGTAATATTTTTCTTTTATTATATTTTTTATGTGTACGATATGTGTACGATATGTGTATGAATATTCAAATATAAACCTTTCCGCTCCTGAAGTAATTTGACTCTCAAATTTCTGGTTGTATCTGTTTTATTGATTATTTTATTAATTCATTTTTTTGAAAATTTTTATCAAATAAAATAAATTCTTTCCTGATGATGAGCAGAAGCATAGAAATATTAGCCAAATCTCAAACAACTCTTATCTGTTAAATAAATATATTTTTATCACTCAATCTTTTAATAATGGGGTATTGTCGCCATATCTGGACTGTTGTCACCCAGTCAGCGTTTACGAGGCCTTGTGTGTGATGGATTATTTTCCACCCTACAACCCCTTTTCACACAGACGAAACGTTCCTAGGCTCTCGCTATTTCAATGGGAAATATTCAAACGGGCTACATTCCTTCGTTCCATCAGTTCAGACCTTCACAATGAGGCGTTTCCATGCCTTGTGCATGGCGTCGTCAAATCACTCTTATTCCCATCATATTCCATTAGTATGGAAGAAGTTCAGAAAGAAAAGTTACGTGTAGTTACCATTGGAAATAATATGAATTCATCTATTCTACCCACCAGCTGTAGGCTGAATATCAAGACAGACTGTGTCCTATAGCCTTGGCTGGTAACCAGTCTATAGGAAAAATAAACGGCAGCCTATTGCAGGGAATCTTCTTCCTAGTTAGTCATGAATCGAAAGAATCATGATCGCTCAAGTGTATATCACGTATGGGACTTACTTTCCACTAAGCTTTATCCACAGTACAAAAAATACTCCTGTGAGAATGCTTAACTACAATCTTAACCTCTTCCAGTCTAGTGTCAATCGATAGCTATCCGACATATTATCTTAATATTCAGCCATTTTCTCCTTCCTTCTCCGGTGCAACAGTTTCAGTCAGCAACCCATTACTTTGAGTGGCCTATGGGCCTTGTATTGGATGAATGAAAAACATAATAATGATCCTTACATTTTTCATATTGCTACCAATGGTCCCATATCATACGTCTTTTAGTTATCTTTGCTGTTATGGCTGTTTTTCATGAATTTTTTGGTATAACATATAATAACGGCATTGTCACCCTATTTAGAAACACACGCGTACCTCTCTCTCTCTCTGCACACACACACACACACACACATATATATATATATATATATATATATATATATATATATATATATATATATATAAAGTATATAAAGTGTATGATAAAGTATATAGTTTTTAATCGCAAATGCATATACTTATACATGTTCTGAAAAATGTCAAGAATTTTGAAGTTGTCAGAAACTTTTACACTAGAATTGTTTATGGCTACAAAAAACATTTCGTATTTCCGTCCATAACAAATTATTTTGTCCAAATAAATAAAAAAAAGAACCGTTTAACTATGCAAATAAAAAATATAAAAAAAAAATCTTTATAAATTCGTTTTTCCAATTCATAAAAGTTTTTCGATTGGTT